GCAGGAACGGCAGCAACCGCCGGCGTCGCGAATCTTGTAAAGGCCCCTGCTGCTGCTGCTGCTGCTGCTGTCAGGTGTATGCTACCTCATAGCATTTGTTCTGGCTCGTGTGGCGAACCCAACCAACCCCAGAAACGTTATTATATTCTATATTATTATTATTATTAATATTAATATTTTGTATCTATAAGCTAAGAGAAAGCGTCAGCATGCAGGGTTTGGTGTATGCATACCAGCAGAGCCAGCTTGGCCTTGAGTGACCCCATCACCTGCTCCAGGGATTGCATCTTCGCTAGCTGAGACTCAAAATAAAAAACAACGCCAAGAGCAACGCGAAACAAAATCTTTGGGCCCTCTAGCATTAAACAATCCCAAATACGAAGCACTGTTGGTTGCTGTATATACACACACAATACACACAACAACACAAACCCTAAACCCTACCACACACTAAACCCCAAACCCTAAACCCTAAACCCTAGAAACCGAGAGAGCGGAAACACCCTATCGCGCACCGCTACATTGGTGTCACTTGTTCGTGTTCTTGTTTGTTTCTTCTGCGGTATAACTTGAAAGAAACATCCTAAACCCTAAACCCTAAACCCTAAACCCTAAACCCTAAACCCTCGAGTAACAACAATACTCACCGGACACGAAGTCGCAAATAGACACAAAAACCACTCCGCCGCCACCCACTCCACCTCTACGCCCGTCTTCCTTAGATTTCAACAGCAGAAGAAACAAACAAAAACGCAGAAAAGTAAAAACACAAACAAAAAAAAAACAAACACGAAAAAACACAAATAAGTAGCAACGCCAGCACTTCAACTGCTGGTGATCAGCGATAGCAGCAAGAAGAACAGCGGCTGCTGCAGCAGTTGCAAGAGCAACAGCAGCAGATCCGGCAGCGCCAACCGAGCCACAACACTAGCATCAGCAGCAGCAGGGCAGCACCAGCAACAGAATAGCAGCACAGCAGCAACAGCGACACAACGAGAAGCAGCAGCAGAGCAGCAGCAGCGCAGCAGCAGCGCAGCAGCAGCGCAGCAGCAGAGCAGCAGCAGCGCAGCAGCAGAGCAGCAGCAGCTGCGTACTTGAGGACTTGAAAGACCCGCGGGGACTTCTGTCTGATGAGGAGCTCCAGCACTTTTAGGTCTCTCCGCAGATCTGCCATTCCATTGGAGTAATAACGCCCAATCTGAAGTCCTGGAAAAACAAAATAAATGCAACGACAGAAAATCCAGGTGTACATACACCCCAGTCCACTGTGCATAC